GCATGTGACGCTGGCTGGTAGAAGCCGACAAGTATTAGGTGCAAACGAGCCATCGTCGTTTTCCTAATCCCACACGAATGCTCGTCCGTTTCTTCAACCGCTTGCCACGTGGACTCCTCTTTTCTTCCTGGACCTAACCTCATTATTGGGCTTTAAAAAGCCTTTTCAATGTCTTTCCCTGCCTAATGGGCTTTCCCGACAGAATCTATGTGGGTTCCACGTGGAACTTCAAAATTCGAAATTTCAAACGCGTCTAAAAATCCAAAAAGGCACACAATCTTATCTTCATTGTTTTGGATTTGACCGTTTCGGAACTAGACCGTACCAGAACCGAACCAGAGCTCAACGACTCGAACCACACGACATAAACTTCTAGAACCATAGAAACATTTATTCTCTATTTAATTTACCATTTTACCCCTAATTCTCTCTTCTTTCGCCTCTCAGGTCTTTAAAGTCTTTGAGTCTGTGTTAGCGAATTTTCTTAGCAGTCGTTTCTATTTCTGAACTCGAAATTTCGTCTCCGGAACTTTGAATTCTTCTTCATCTGAAACAGAAAGGAGAAGGAAGAAGATGACGACTATGGAGAGCTTGATTGGTTTGGTTAATAGGATACAGAGAGCTTGTACAGTACTCGGTGACTATGGTGGTGGTACTGGAGGTAACGCTTTCAATTCTCTCTGGGAAGCTCTTCCAACAGTCGCCGTCGTCGGTGGTCAGGTGATTTTCTCCGGTCGAATTAGCTTTTTGACTTCTTCTTAGGTTTTTTCTCTGTTTTCCTCTGTTGACTCTTCAATTTTGGGGGTTTATGCAGAGTTCTGGGAAATCTTCGGTTCTTGAGAGCATAGTTGGGAGAGATTTTCTTCCTAGAGGATCCGGTTTGTGAAATTTTTTCATTTTGTAGTTAAAGCAAAGGAGCTCTTGATTTTTAGGAAGAATATATTGTTTTGTGTAGGTATCGTTACGAGACGGCCTTTGGTTTTGCAGCTTCATAAGACGGAAGTTGGAACAGAGGAGTATGCAGAGTTTCTCCATCTTCCCAAAAGACAATTCACAGATTTCGGTATGTACAACCTTTAAC